TTTCACTGCATTCTGCGTTTGGAATTGGTTTCTCTTGCTGAAATGTCATTTTCTATGAATTTTGTATTTGTTTTGATGTTTCTGTGAACGTCTAAGCTGGAGGTTCGTTACCTTCTTCTTGTGATGTAGTTTTGTTTCTTGTTCTTGTGTTGAAGTGCATTACAAAAATATGATTAGTTTTAGTCGTAGGAGGATTACAGTTAATTTGTTTGCCACTTTTTGTCACTACTGTTCATTTGCAGATTTACCTTCTTCATTAACATCCTTTGCAGCTACTGTTGATTTCCTCCATTATCCATATATATGCTCAAGTCAATGACTATGGGAATGTGCAAGTCATCTTCAGTGACTGAATCCAAGTATTGTAATCAAGCTCTTGGGTGTGTTCGAAAAATCAAACAAACCAGACCAGCGGTAACCAAGATCAACAGTTAGATTTTGGTTCCTTTATGTGGCATGCGGAGCTCCAGCCCCAGTTTGTTTGGTCTCATCTGTTGCTGGATCTCTGTCTATTTCAGAACATTGGAGGCGGCTGGATTGAAGCACAGAACTCCAGAGGAGAGGTTGGACTGGTGCCCGAGGACTACATTGAGGTAAGTTAGCCGGTGTCCATGGTGATGCAACGTGTGTGGTGGTGATTTCAGCAGGCATTTCACAACCCAGAGGATCAGAAGTGAACGTACCACCACAGAAAATAGGAAACTAAATCATGTGCTGCTGCTATGTTTCAAGGTCAAAAAGAGTACAGAATACGATAAAGGTCAGCACACACACAAAAACGAAGCTTAAACGCTCGTCTTAATCAGTTGGATAATTCCTGCTACAGAAGAAAATATGTGTGCATACTGTGGTGCTTTCTCTTGCCTGAAACGCAAATCTCAACAGGATGTGCCTCCTTCAGGGTTTTGCTGATTAGGGTGTTTGTGTCCAGTAGCATGAGAACATGATTCACTCCAAAGAAATTCACACAGCGAGAGAGAAGAAGAGTTTGATTAAACCTCAGGTCTGTGATGTTAGCTGCGTGGCCTCACTCTAAACACTTTATACAACATCTAACAATGCAGGTCTGTGTGTGTACAAGAGAGAGATTAATACCATCGCTCTGCTTCGCTTCACAAACAAGCTCGTGAGGATATGTGCGCTCGTCTGACCTTAAGTTACCTCCGCAGCTGCCCCCTCGGACCGTTTGATTCTGTGTCCAAATCATAAAAACCCGCAGATGACAATTGCGCTTGTAGCTTATGTAACGTCTAATGAAAAACACCAGGACCGGTTCCTCAGCAACTGCGCTCTGCTGGTAAGAATAAGATCTGCAAAAACAAAAAGGAATCACAGAAGGTCTGGTGTTACTGAAACGCGGTAAATCTGGTGCTGATGCATTTGGGACAAACTGAGAAAATTAAATCCCTGTTTGCAAAGCCAGGGAATGCTGAGGAGACGGTCGCACTGCCACGGAAGAATGTACCTTTAAAAGTCATTAGATTACGTGGAAATATCTGGATTGGTTCACCTAATGCCACTGTTTTCTGTCTCTCCCTTTGCCTTTCATTTGTAGTTCAGTCAGCAACCTTCTGCGTTCCAAGGAGCAGGAACCACAGCACCTCCTCCGAGCGTAGGAAATGTTGCATCTGCGGATCTGTCCTTCTTCGACGCATACGCTCCTGCATCGACACCTGCACCAAACCAGGTAACGCACTCGGCAAGCGAAGCTACAGGCGTGGCTTTGACTTCTCTAAATTCAAAAGCTGGGGAAGTATGGTCAAAAATATGAGGAGTATTTCCATGCCCAGTGCATCTGCTGCCTCTCACTGATACGTGATGGGGTGATGTTGAAGAAAAAGCAAAAGCAGAAGTGAGCGATGACAAAGTTTCACTGACGTTGGCGCAGCCTGTGTGAGCCCCAGAGATGCAGAAGTGAGAGCAGCTGCTGTGGGAGATATTCTCTGTAGTCATGTCATTTATAAACCGATGCAGCTTTTAGCTCGAGTAAGAACCAACTCAGAGGAAACAAGTTCAGTGAAATCTTCTGCCAGGAAGTTCCACATATGTGAGCGTACTGCTGATCGGTAAAAAAAAAAAAAATAACTGTGGGCGCAGTAAATGGTTGAGTCAAGACAGGAAATGTGTCAGCTGTCGTCTCTCGTGCACTCAAAAACACCATCGCTTTAACCCGTTCCCTGCTCTGTGTGTACCTTCACTGCTGCCACTCTGTGATAACGTCGCCTTCTTTTCCCCTCAAGGTGGATGCCGGGGGCTTGAGTCCCCAGCCGGACACCCCCGACACCCCAGTTTCCCCCTACCTTTCGTCCCCTGATGAGGTAATCGCCACATGGGGGTGGTGGGGCGGGGCCAGCGGCATGAACCCATGCCCTCCCACCCTCAGCCAGTCTCAGCCCAAAGCCATCCTCCTCTCTGATTGGTCTGCTTTCGGCAAATCCCCCCCCACCGTCGTACTCCCCACTGCCTGCAGAGAGCATGATCTCATCTTCTCCATTCACCTTGCACTACATTACAGACGCACAGATTCTCACAGCAATCCACTCCCACGCTCCTTATTTCAATTGTACCAATCAGCACCGTAGCGAGAACGTTAAGAGATCAGACTCTTTATGTCTCACACATAATCGACTAATCACACAGACAAATCATTAAAGCAGAGCACCTGCATTTATTCCAAATGATGATCAGAATGTCACAAACTTAAATGCTGTCACATAACGTACCGTAAAGTTACTCCTGAACTCCAACAATGCTGTCGGAGGGTTCCTCCTCACTGCATTGATGTGTTTATTTGTTCATGTCCTCACAGCGATTTGCTCCGAAACCACTGTTTTCCTTGTAAATATTCGTCCCGTGGTGTTGTCGGTGACTTCACTAATTCTGGGTTTGGTTAGCATTAAGCTAATTCTAACCTACAAAAGACACGCACACACTGTTGCATGCCTTTGCTCGAGAAGTTTATTGTGGTGCCTATTGCCTGCCTTGCAAGCATGTAGTTGCACTTTGAGCTCGTAGGTGCTGTAAAAAAAAAAAACAGAGTGTACAAACTTAAAACGGTAGCGTGTAAGCATGTGCTTTTTTTTTTTTCTTTTTATTGTTAGTATTCCAGTCGCCTCGTCTGTAAAGCGGCGTGTACAAACTGCACTGTCAAGCTGATTTATCTCTCAACAGATTCCCTCTAGCGACCAGGTCTGCATCACGTGTTTGGAAAAGCATGTTGTTATAAGACTACCGTCAGCTTCTCGTTAAACAGACTCCGAACCAGGCTGGACTCTGTGTTCTCTCCGCCGGCTCCCTCTCCGTTGCTGCTCTTTTTCATCCCTCACCATTCGTCTTCCTGTCTCTTCCAGGCTAGCAACGGCAATGATCCCTGGTCGGTGTGGAACGCAGACCCCTCCGGGGGCTCCAGCAACAACTGGGCGTCTAACCCGGAGGGCACCCAGACGGGGAAGAGCGCTGCTGACCCGTGGGGCTCCGTGTCACAGGGCCACCCGCAGGCCTACCAGGGCCCAGGTAAGAACAGCTCTGGAGTTTGCAGCCATGGTGCCAAAATGTTAGAAATATTATCTGTTTATACCATAAAATCACTGCCTTATGGTCTTGTGGCAATTTTAAGTTTCATTCCTGTCGTTTTATTTATTTCACTCATTCCTGCTATTTAAAACCACAGGCTAATTGAAAATAGAAACTGCGGTTCTGCTTCCTTTTCAAGGTGCTACTCGCCGTTTAATCTTTAACGGGCCTTTTCACTTCTCAGACTTTCAAGGAACTCACGTAAAAATTTAGAAAATGTGAAAACAAACTTCGTCATGACGTCCTGGTGCGGTTTCGGGACTGTGAAGGCCACATGTTGTTTTGGCTCTTGGAGACACAGCAGCGTCTTGTGCAGCTATTTAGATTACTGTTTGGACAGAGTTTGCTTTTTCACACTGTAATTGTGGGGATAGGATTGAACGTATGGCTGCAGGTGTGGAAACACAAGACCGACTGTTCGAGCCTCCGGAGGTGTCGGCTCAGTTCATCAAACAGTCAGACTAAGCAACCGTTGGATTGGTTTATGACTGGTTGTCCATTGACACAGTTAGCTTTCTGTTGGGATGCTTGTTTTGGCTCGTCATGATAGAAGGTGCTGCCACATTTATAAATGTTTTTTGACCACAATCCAGCTCTCCAGAGATTTGGTAAAAGGTGTGATGTCCTGAATGTTTGAAAATGCCGCTGTGATGAGGGTTTTTGTCATGAGAACGAAGAAGAATTAAAAATATATTTACCAGCAAGTGAATTAGAGGTTAAGTCGTCCTGGCATCTACTTCCATTGGCTCATAGAACAATATAACAAAGGATGTAGTTTACATTCAGGACAAAGTGCAGTTTCCTGTCCTTCACCTTAACCAGATAATAACTGATATACCTTAAAAAATGTACAGGAAGCCCTGTTATTTGAAGCTTCAGGCACTTTTTGGTCCAGTATTTACCATTTCTAAATACGATGCAGTGACTCTCCCTCCCAGATGTGGTTCTTCATCATTCCCTCCACAGAGGAGCTCCAGCATCTGGAAAGGACAATCCAGTCATGATTCAGTTTTGGCCAGACTGTGGAAAAGTTAGCCTCACTCATGACTCAGAAGGACAAATTCCTTGACCTGTTTTTTAAATTCTCCGCTTGCTTTTGTGAAAAGAGAACAGAGGAAATGAACGGCCAGTAGAAGAAGAAGAAGTAACAGACTTTTCCTTTCTTTCTCTCTTCGCCAAAGGCATCTACCCATATCCGTACCTTATTGATTACACAGGTATCCCGTCCACCGCACGCTGGACTCTTGCTCGTTTTTGTGTGTGGACTGGCAACGAGTACATATGACGAGTGAAACTTTCCACCTTAGAGTTCTAGGACTTGAAGTTTAAAAGGCATGTGTGTGTAGTTTGATATTAACACTGTATTAACTAGTTGTGATGTGGGACGGTGCCTTCTTTTAAGAGGAGTGTGGCCTCTGTTTTCCATCAGAGCATGCCTGCCCTGTATAGATGGAGAGCTGTAAGTAAAGTGTGCAGGAGAATGAAGTGTGTTTTGAGCTTTTATTTTGGAACTCTGGACAATCTTAACTGTGCAGAAACAGACCTTCAAACATGTATGAGGCTGTGCGACAGTTAAAGCTCTGCTGCCGTTTTCTTTTAGCAGGACTGGTTCAGCTGTTCTTACTTTTTGGTTTGTTTATTTTGTGCCGGCTGGGTTTAGCTACTTCCTCTCTTACTGCAAACGGCATTTAGGCGATAGATCGTCAAAATTGAGTTTGAAATCGCAGGGAAGTGCAGGTAAATTTGGCTTTACCTATCTGCTAGGGCTCCACAGTTAGTCTTTATCACGATGATCACCTAGAAACAGCTGAACATAGAAAACAGCCCGTGTAGATAAAGGAGTTCCACTTCTGTAAATATCACATTAAAACAAGTCACTTCACTTTTCTCAGGACTACGTTTTTCCTTGAAGAGATGCACTGAATTCACGTAAAGAGGATTTTAAGTCCATCTGATGTGAACGCAGTGCTCTGTTTATTTCAGTATGATTTTAGTGCAATCAAAGTATTTTGTCTTTCAAAACAATTAATAACCGTCGTTACCATTTTGGTCTGTCTTCAGTAGTTTTGCAAATTGCACCTGCCGTTTAACCTTTTTTCTTAAAACATACATGTTTCTTTCTCTTATAGATTAGTAAATCAAAAGATTAGAAAGTCTGATTCTGGTCTTAATTCTGACCAATATGTACTTTTGCATTTGGCTTTGTAGGGCAGTAATGCAGTAAGCCACCTACACTGTGTTTATGTGTGGACATACTGTTTGTGCAGACCTTAGAAGCCGTGTTGGGCCTCAAACTCTGAGTCATATCACAGCCTGGATGCTGCATCACTGTGCTTTCAAGCCTCCTTTGAAGTGAAGTGAGCAGCTTTTGAGAAAATTACACCACAACGTGTGTTTTAGTAGCATCGAGCAGGAAAGAGGCTTTTTTCTCTGAGGTGGACCTGCACTCTGTAAGCATTGATTTAAAATTATACAAGCATGCTTTTTATATGAAATATGGTCTGTGGTAAAAAGGAAGGGTAGGGAAGGACATATTTAACTCATCATGTCTACAACACCCACGTGTGATGTTACTGATTTTAAGTGCTGATGTTTAACATATATCTTTAATGTACGGCAGCAGTTTACAGGTTTGTTTTTGATGTAGATCAGTGCTGCATGCCCTCTAGCTGATGTGACTGCACCGGTTTGCTCCAGAACAATCATTTATCTTATATTTAGAACCACAGCGTATGGTGATTTAAAACTAACCGTATGTGCATGACCCCAGGGGCAGAGGATGACGAGTGGGATGACGAATGGGACGACATGAAGTCCACCAGCGGTTACGCCGAGTCAGAAGCTGGAGACGGTGGACAGTTTCAAAGAGGCGGAACTCATGCATCTGCAATGAAAATCTCCCTCAACAAGTGAGAGTTCAAATGGAATAATGCATGAATCAGTTTTTATATGCAGCAGCAGCAGGACGGTGGGATGCTTAAATCTTTGACAAGCAATGTTTTAGGTCATCGCTTCATCTGAAAAGAAAAATTGCATAAACACATTTAGGTAAACTGTTCTAGGTGGTTAGTAATGACTTTTAGCTGCTACTTGCTTGAGCCAAATGTGCTCAGACTTTCAGAGTTTGATGTTTTGCTTCCAGGAATGTCACTGTGACCCCGACAGCTTCATACACAACAACAACGAGGATTCTCCTTGTTTCTATCAAGTCACACTTTTAGATAAAACTGAGACTTTGTGAAAGAGCTAAAAAAAATAAAATAAAAGATTGATGAGGAAACTTTGTCCTTTCTCTTTGAGCAGGTTTCCTGGCTTCTCCAAGTCTGGTCCAGAGCTCTACCTCCTTAGCAAACAGCCTGCCAAGGGCAAGGACAAGCTGCCAATTTATGTAGGTTGTCTACATATATGTCTGTAAATCACATACTATTTATCATGGGATGTTTTTAAATGGTTGTGGTACATTAACAGAACCTACTGGCGTTAGGTGTTGTTGTAGGTGTTTTACGTTACTATATTATATTAACAGAATTCACAGTTTCCTCATTTTGCCGGCTTGGTGTTGTGTTTAGATGACTGTAAATGCATCGTTCTAAACCTTTATGTTTCATGCTCAGATGGGAGAAGTTGGTCCAGTGTGGTCTTACCCAGAGACCCAGCTAGACTGTGTGGTAGCTGATCCTAAGAAAGGCTCAAAGATGTACGGCCTCAAGAGCTACATTGAGTACCAAATCACACCCGGTGTAAGTATCCAGCAGCTGTTTCTAAATGTCTGATCTCCTGGATGCACGAAGCTGGAGTTTAGGCAGTAGCCAACATCGAATAACTGCGAGAAGGCCACTTCAAAAATAAGTTTGGCTGAAATCTGTTAAAGTAGCAAAGCAAAGAAAGGCTCAAGTTTACAGTGTCTGTAACTCCGTGTTCTTGGTTTTCAGACCACAAATCGACCAGTCAATCACAGATACAAGCACTTCGATTGGCTGTATGAGAGGCTCCTGGAAAAATTCGGTTCAGCCATCCCCATCCCTTCTTTACCGGACAAGCAGGTGACGGGTGAGTTATGGATCCTCGCCCCATCAGTAAACACATGTCGGACGGTATGTTGCTGTGATAGATTGAAAACCATTTCCCTTGCACCCCTCCGTCTGGTGAAGGCCGTTTTGAGGAAGAGTTCATTAAGATGCGGATGGAGCGGCTGCAAGGTTGGATGACCAGGATGTGCAGGCACCCCGTTGTTTCCTGCAGCGACGTTTTTCAGCTTTTCCTCACCTACAAGGACGAGAAGGTAAACTGTGGCTCCTCCGCCTGCCTTCCCTCGTGGACTCAGATACTAATTAATGCTTTATGAAGTGTTTCGTTTAACTTTGTGCTGCTGTATATTGTGTGAGTTATAACTAAGATGGTCTATACAACATTTTTCCGAGTGCCCACTGGAACAAAAAGGTGGCTCCATGCTCTATAGCAGCGGTCTTCAACCTTTTTTGCACCACGGACCGGTTTTAAGCAAGAAATTTTTCTACGGACCGGTCATTGCGCACATAACAAATAATAATTGAGTTTTTTTCTATTGAAAAGTTTCATGAATAAATAAAATTAATTTTTATTGCTTAACATGTTTACTTTTTCTCTGTCTCAGTATCAAGTCTCTCTCACTTTCCAAAGCAGCTCTCCTGAGACGTTTGTTGTTGACTGACGGCTTCGTTTAGCAGCCGGGCATAAAAACTGACAGTCAAGTTCGGGAAACGAACACAAACGGAAGTGACGGGAAGACGAGCTAGTCATGTTTCAAAATAAAACACCCTGCAGACTCCGCTGGAAATAAAAATAAACCAATAAAACGTTTTTATTCTATCTGTGCGGCCCGGTACCGGTCCGCGGCCCGGTGGTTGGGGACCGCTGCTCTATAGAAACTGTTTTGACTCCTGTTATTTATGTGGTTCCATCCTTGTTGTCTCCCTGCTCTGTGAAAGCACAGCCTGCAGTTCAGCCCACTTCAGCTGACGAGTCCAGGGCATGGCTGATGTTTGCAGCCGAGTCGATTCTGGCTGTTCGGTGGTGCCAAGGAGCGCACATTTTTTAACCTTTTACAGAATCCGGTTCCTGCTAAAGGCTTGTTTTGGCAATTTTTTAAAGCAGACACGGAGAATACAGAGATTCTGAGGATTTGAAAGTCACTCAGCTCAAAAACATTTCTTCCTGTTTTCACACTTTCCTGCTGGATAAGTGATGTAATTTTAGTGTTGAAAGATTGAATTAAAGTGAGTGCTGATTGGTTGGTGCAGGACTGGAAGATGGGGAAGAGAAAAGCAGAGAAGGACGAGACAGTGGGGGTGATGATCTTCTCCACGATAGAGCCGGACGCTCAGGACCTGGATCTGGGAGAAGTGTGAGTTCAAGCAAACTTTGCAAATAGAAAACTTCAAAGACAGTTAAGTTACCTGTATGCAGTGCTGTGTGTGTTAATGCCTGTGAATATTCAGTACATGTGTCACCCGTCCACAGGGATCAGAAGTGCGAACAGTTCAGCAGGTTTACCAAAGCCATGGATGACGGGGTGAAGGAAATCCTCACGGTGGGACACGAGCACTGGAAGAGATGCACAGGCCGTACGTTCACGCTGCACTCAGGCTAAATAAGTGTTTTCCAGCACACAGGCCACGCCCTCACTGTGCCCTAATTACAGTTTTCACCAGTATTTTGTCAACTTTGAAAACTTCACGCTGTCCGTGTTCTTCTCATCCACAGCTTTGCCAAAAGAGTACCAGAGAATCGGCAAAGCCTTCCAGAACCTGTCCTCTGTCTTCACCAGCAGCGGATACCAAGGTACGCCATGTTCCCAGGTGCAGGCAGTCGCTGGCTCTGTCTCTGGTGACATCCTCGAAAGATTGCTGTAATCAGTGCAGTCACAGGGGTGAAAGCAGAAGTCGCTGCAGCTTGCTGTGTAGCCATTCATTAGGTGGCAATGTGTTTTGAAACGGAGTAGCACACGCATGCTATTGAGCAACATGGTGATGACACGTTTTAACTCCCTTTGTGCCGAAGGTGAGTCAACGCTGACCGACGCCATGACAGCAGCGGGGAAGACGTACGAAGAGATCGCTCAGATGGTTGCAGAGCAGGTAGGTCCTCTGACGGCTGCTTGAGGTTAGAGCTGTTTCTGACCTCAGGGTTTTTTTTTCTGGTTGTCACTGAAACAGTTAGAAAAATAGCAATGCTGAGAAATTCACACACAGTTTATAAGACCACTGGCGGCTCAAAGGTCTCGAAGCTTACTGTAGGTGTTTCTGTCGGCCTCATGGTTTTGTGTTCGCGGTCACACTTCACAGCATCTCACGATGTCTCTGAACATTTCCTGATGACATCCACTGTTTACTTCCTAGCGGTGCTGTTTTAATGACCTCTGTAACACGGCGTCCTGCTCTTCTAGTCTGTATCTGTACAGGAAGTGACCCAGGTCACATTTATTTCTAGTATTTTGTTCTGACCTGATTTGAATGTGGCTTTTTTTTTTTTTTTTTTTACCGTTTTGTCGAGCCTGATCAGTGTGCTGTGTAATAAAGTCAATTCTTGGCTTTTTTGATGTCCCAGCAGCTTCCAGAGGGAGGATTCATCTGGTAAGCTGCTCCAGACAGTTCTCCTCAGTGCTCCTGTAGAGTTGTTAGCCGTAGCTTAGCGATGCAGTTTAGACAAAGACAATGTGTGGACATGGATTCATCTCAAGACTCAGCAGGCCAAAGCAGTGGAGTTTATCAGGCTGCCTTCCCTCACTCCTTTACCTCCTCTCTGAATCCATGATCACGTCATGCATAGTGCCGTTGTGTTTAAATTCAACTCATGCGACCTACAGTTTCCCTGTTTCCCTGTTTTCTCTCTTATCAGGAACTTGCATTAGTTCCTGATCTGGGCTTCACTTTGGAACTTTGGTTCCAATTTTAGGTGCTTACGTCGCCTTTTTCCTTTTCACATTTATCCCTTTTGTGTCTGTTTTGTTTTTAGCCCAGGAAAGACCTTCACTGCCTCATGGAGACCAACAATGAATACAAGGGTCTTCTTGGGTGCTTCCCAGACACCATCGGCGTCCATAAGGTACGTCGGTATATGGTGCTGTCCACACAAAGGTTTAGCAGAAGACGGATTTGAACCTAGTATGTTGTTGGTGGGGGGATAAAAGCCACTCTAACATTTCAGCATATTGAAATTCAAATACTCTGAGAGGAAACTGGACCTCTGCACTTCCTCTTAGCGCTGTTTTTAGCCTGTAGGAATATAGCCAGTGAGGAGAAGCCTCAGCTGTTCACAGATCTTTTCCTGAAATGAGGTGAGAGAGTTTTTAAAAAAACATCAATAATGAGCAATGAACTTGGTGGCGCAATCAGATGAGTACTCAGGAAGAAAAGTTTGAATCCTGTTTTAGGTGAATGTTGTAGATGAACTGTTTTTGCACGTTTTCAGGACAGAGAGGGGAGAGCTGTAAGAGGAGGGTTCAGTTTCTGCCATTCTGTTTTGTTAGTTCTTTAGTTTTATGTGTTTATTTGTTTGTCCGGATGTTTGTCCGGAAAGGGAAGGCTTATTAATGCCACCGATTCTCAGTGCCAAGCTAGTAAAGAGGGTCCTGATACACAGTTTGAGGGTGGGAGTATTTAAAGTGGTGTTTTATTATAAATAATAAGACAATATACCTCAAATTAGAGGACACATTTTGTTAGCGTTGATCAAACAATTGACTAGAATCTCTGAGGACGTTTCCCTCTCGCTCATGTATTTCTCCACGTACACATGTGTACATAAAGTCACCTGCAAAAGCACTGATGTGTATTTTAATTATAATTAAATTGTGATTTATGTGTAGCTGAATCCCAGTCAACAGGCAAAATGAATTAAACCATGCACGCTGTGGACACCAGGTTGACTGCTGTGTTGTCTGCTTGTTCTTAATTCCCACAGGCAGCCATAGACAAGGTGAAGGAGGCTGACAAGCTGGTGGCCACCAGTAAAATTACCCCTCAGGACAAAGTCACCATGGCCAAACGCGTCAGCACCATGTCTTACGCATTACAAGGTACCACACTGTCCCAGGCTTAATTGAAGCATTGCAGTTTGTCATGGCGTGCTGTCTGATCTCCGTGGTTTTCCTTCATTTGCGGCGCAGCTGAGATGAACCACTTCCATAGCAACCGTATCTATGACTACAACAGGGTCATGCAGTTGTACCTGGAGGAGCAAGTCAAGTTTTACGAGACGGTAGTGGCACTTTTATTGACCGTTTATCCCAGTATGTTTAAGTTTAACACGTAGCCCTTTTCACTGCTTTACTACCTGGAAGTCGGTTGCACAGTGCTTAGATACTGAAGATACTAAACCCTCACATGACCACTCTGCTGTTGTATTCATGCTCGTTTGTCTTTTTCCTCACCCCCCCAGATCGCCGCAAAGCTGAAACAAGCACACAGTCAGTTCACTACCATGTGAAGCACCGGCGGTCTCGCACTACAAGACAAGAAGAGTTAAAACCAGTTGAACATTGAAAATGTTTTTCGCTTATATTGCATTCTCTTCCCTCCCTTTAATTTAAGCCTCGCTTCTGTTTCACTGTTACCTCATTTCATTCCAACTGTCCCGGCTCGTGGTGTTGCCGTTGTCCGCTGCTCTCGGAGGTTTACGGAGTTCATGAGCGCGTGAGAGAGCTTTGACACGAGTGGGTTTTAGGGGCAGCGGTGATAACAGAATGCACCACAGCATTTACATACACCCTTTCCTCTGTCCAAAGTTCACAGCTTGTAGCACAGGACCTGCGAGTTACGGCGGTTGCAGATGTCTCCGTTGCATGAGTCAAACCCCAGCGTTTCTCTGACGTGATACAACTTTTAGTACAGCTTTGGGTGCAAACATTATATCCGACTTTTAAAAAAAGCAATAGCCTGCAGTTTTTCAGCCGTTCTTCCAGCGAAGGATTTACGAATGTGGCAAAACTATTATCTGCACAGTGATGTAGTGACACCGAAAACCAAAGCCATTCTCCGCTCTGTCAATAGGAACAGCCAGGGAGTTCATTTCTGAATGCTGCTTCGAAAGCATATCCTCTGTGTGTGTCCACTGCTGGCAGTGCCTGACCCCCCTTTTCATCCTGCACTTCCTCAAGAACCATCAGGAAGCTCCACCTTTTTCCTGTCTTGCCACTCTAGGAAAATAATCGACTTAGCACCCCGAGTCTGTAGACTACGGCCCTGCAGTTTACACTTCTGAAGAAAAATGTGGATTAACTGAGGTTGAGCTGCACATTTGAGCTGAAAGCCGGTGAATCTGGATCCAGCTGCAGACGGTGCCAAAATAGTTTCCTCTCCCAGGACTCCTGAAAAATATTTGTCCTCGTCTGACCCGGTTGTGGTGTTTTGATATGAAGGTGTAACGACAACATTCGCTCTGAGAATTTGTACTATAAGAAAAGAAAACTCTATGGATTGTGTCTTGTATGAAGTTTTGCTTTTTTTTTGCTTTTCACCGCCCAGTTTTTCAATCAGTCTCTAATCTTGTTCACTCTCTTTTTTTCTTATCACTTGATACATTAAAAAAAAATATACATAAAAATATATATATAAATATATTCTATTGAACCTTTCAGGTGCTTCTTGTCATTGAGATACTATTTTATGTATAGAAGTATTTGCAATATGGTGAGCGAAAATTCTGTTTGATTTATTAAACAATGATTTGTACTCATTGGGACTTTGTGTGTGTTTGAAAGAAGCCTCCTCTCGGTTTCTATATGCTGCAGCGTACAACACAGCGCACACTGACTTTCTCACACAAAAGCGAGTATTCACTTACGCGAATTCTTGCATGGACGTGGAGAGGAATAAGAATGAGTCGGCAGCTTGAGTGAAGAGTGCGTTGTGTGCAGCCTTCTAGAGGGGGAAGTGAAAGAGCTCTTTTACCCCACGCGCTGCCCTCGCTGCCATCAGGTGCAGCTGGATGTGGAGGCCGCGTAGACGAGCAGGATGAGGAGACGTTCTTAACAAACACCGAGTGTTCTCCTGTTTGTTCTTTTTAAGTGTGTGTGCTTTGAAGGGGGTTACTGCTTCACTGGAGCAGGAGCAATAAAAATCATCTCAGTCTATAAAGATCTCATAAAACATTTATTTTCCAGTTTTATAAGAGTTTAAACTGAATGGATTACAACTCTGTGGCCTTTTCGCTCCCACAGACGTCACCTCTGCTCAGCACGTGCCTGCTGGATTGGCACGAACCTGCCAATATGCTGAAAGTCTTTGGAAACCCTCGTGTGAAGTCATTTGAATGTAGGTAACTAACGCTTACTGGATGCCACAGATAATTACTGCTGCCTGCACTGAGGTATGAGAGTCTCCGACTGTGAGTTCGATATTTGCTTTAGTTTGAAGAAGGAGCATTCTTGCATAAATCAAAGCATTCTAGTTTCCTCTGTGTTGTATTTTAGTGTTTATTGTACAACTCATACAGTATGTATGCGTGTACACGGTCCTCAAACAGCACATTTCCGCTGCCTGGCCCTATATTAAGACAGCAGCGCCTACCAAATCAGAGTCAGGGTCGCTGTTTCTAATATAATAATAACAGCATACAACAGAAGTGAGTCCATGCCTGTGCAAAATCACTTAAATGTTCGCAGTTGCATTACTTCAAAGCTAAACAGTTGGGAATTTCCTCTCAAATAAAAAACTAACAGGTTGACTGTGTTAAACATTAAGTTCATACAGTGGGAGCCGAATGCAACAAATGTCAGAACAAGTTTCATGACTAAGGTTCAAATCTTTTATTTCTTAAATACTTTGAATGTACACGTTTGTTTTTGTTTTTGGCGTCATATGAAGGACGCCAAATTTCTAAAGAGATGGTGTGTTTGTCTGTCTTTAAACCACCCCAAAGACGTTTGATTGAAGTCAGGCGACACACTTGGGCCATTATCATAACAGAATAATCCTTTTCAAAGCTTCTGGAGACTGAGAGACAGTATTTTGCACTTTCGTGTCAGGACCGTGCATTCACTGACCAGGTTCACACCAAACAGGCTGGACGCTTTCTGAGCTGAACAAATGTATTTTGGTTTCATCTGCCCCATTCATCAGGCTTCTTTCTCTTTCTCTTCTTCATCTTGCAGTTTTGTAACAGTGAGCAACCAAAGGATTCTCCCATACAGGCTGACATAATGCAATGTCCTTCACACCGCCGAGGTTGTCACAGAAACCCAGGTTTCCACTGAGAACCTCTGCACCAACTCTGCCCATTTTATTACAGAGGTAGACTGTGACATTAGCGTCCTGTCCGTGGCGTCACTTCAGTAGAACGAGTAGAACGATGTGGAGCCACGATGCCGACATGCAGGTAAACACAAGTCATAGGTCCAAAACTGACAAATTTCTGGTGTTCACAGGTTATGTTCTGTCATTAGATTAACTGAAAATCACAGTCGTACTCAGTTTTGTTTTAATAATCGCAGGTTTTCTAACTTGTGTGCTGCGTTGAGTTTCTCCTTTTAGGCCTGTTTCTTCAACATAGTCCTTCAAAAGTATTTGTTTTTTATTGTTCAAAACATGAAACATCAACTTTTCAACTTAGAAATCCATCCATCCATTATTTACACACCGCTTAATCCTCACTAGGGTCATGGGGGGCTGGAGTCTATCCCAGCTGACTCAGGGTGAAGGCAGGTTCACCTGGACAGGTAACCAGTCTATCACAGGGCTACACTTAGAGACAGACAACCAAGCACACTCACATTCACACCTACGGACAATTTAGAATCACCAATTAACCTCAGCATGTTTCTGGACTGTGGGAGGAAGCCAGAGAACCCGGAGAGAACCCACGCTGCACGGGGAGAACATGGAGACTCCACGCAGAAAGATCCCGGGTGTCCTCACTGGGAGGCGAACCGGCGACCTTCTAGCTACGAGGCGATGATGCTAACCACTGAGCCACGTTGCAGCCCCAACTTAGAAATAATACAGTTATTTAGAGGGGATACAATATCGAATCAAGTGACATTGCACAGGGCTCTACTCACTTCTATGGTGTGCTGTTACTGTTCCTATGTCCTGGCTTTAGTCCAGTAGCAGTAAGACCTTTTTGATTTTAATTTAGTTTTACACAATGGCTTACATTTATATTTGAACAATTTTCAAAATGAATAAAACTGATAATAATCATATATATGCAATGAGCACACAGCATATGCAGAGCAGTAAACAGTCCTGTGATCTGCCTGCCGGTAGAGATCTGGAGCCTCTTCACTCTGCCAGAGCATCATACAAACAGGGTTTTTGGCTGAGTTGCTAAAAGTACATCAAGTGTCAAGGAATTAAACTGGAGTACAAAAAAGAAGTACAAAATGAGGAAGGATTCACTTCCCATGACTGAGTGAGAAAACTCTATGACCTCTACAGTATAAAGCTGGTTCCCAAAAATATCCAGCAGAACACGAGCAGCCTACCAGTTGCATCTGCACATTAAAAACAGCAGAAGAGACGCTGCTTCCAGGTTACTCGGTAGGTCCGTTCGCTAAAAAAAAAACTGCTCCCTGAGTCACCGGATACCAGCAGCATTATGGTGCTTATGTTGCCACACTGTCTCTTCCCTGCTGTGGAGAGGGATGCCAGGTCCTGGTCCACACCGTCGTCATGGTGACAAACGGCTTCGGAAGTTGTGCGGTCGTATCATCATGCTGACTTTGCGTAGGGAGTAATAGTCAGAGTCTTTCCAGGAGTACCAAACGATCCCATCGGGACCCAGCGGCCCTCGGGTTTTTGGAGTGTAGTGGCCGCCCTGCAGGATAAAGAAGGAGTAAACACTTGGGCCTTTATAAGTCTGATGTGAGGGGCAGTTTGTATGTCCTTACCCTGTAGTAGACTCCATTAAGATTGGCATAGAAGCACTGGTTGTACCACCAACCACCGTGCGAGATCTCAGCACAGATGTTGCCACTGTCCGGCGTACTGAAGGCCTGCTTGTCATGGTACCAGCTGAAAGAGTCCTGGACTGTGCCACTGAAGCCCGACACATGGAGGCGGTAGTGATGCACCTCATCGTCCACACTGCAAACACAGAGGAACAGCGAGAAACTACCTCAGACGTATGAACTGTTTTGCAATAATGAGCTCTACACGTCTGTGCATGTGTCTGTCAACTGTTTGTGGGAACGACGGCGACCTGAAGCTCTGGTAGATGGCATGTTTGTGCCTGTTGCCCCAGTCCTCCATGTCGATCCGGAGGCTGTAGTCTCCCTGAGTGCTCAGATCATGTATGTGGTCGTTGCCCAGCCAAAACTCGGAGTGCAGGTCACCAAATCCATCCCTGTAGTCCCTCCAGCTGCGGTCAAAGTTCACTGAGCCATCCACTCGCCGCTGGATCACAGTCCAGCCACCTCCTGAGGCACAAAAAAAATCCAACAAAAAACGAGGTATTACAAGGACGAGTCATATCCTGGGCTCCCCTCTGCTCAGCTGATTACTACAGGCCGGGTACACAGTGCTGTGTCTTGCTCAAGAACACCTAAGCAGAGCCTGTTCTTGCCAACACAGAGATTGAAACCATTCAACTGAAATACAGTCACGGCTAAGCCAGCTTTCGACCCTGTGGAATGTGTCTTTATGTTTACATTCTTATCCATCACACAATACTGTCCGGGAAGATCTCCCACAAGGAGAACAAGGACTCATGCAACCACGCTATCTGATCTCAACATCACTGAGTCAGGCTGGGATTATACAAAGAAGCTGAGGCAAAGGAGGAAGCCCAAATCTATAAAAATGTGGCAAATTCCACAAGATGCTTGGAACAACCTCCCCGCCAAGTACTTTGAACATTAGGAGAGCTGGTGTTTTGAAGGCAAAACACCTGATGAATAAAGACAGCAGGGTCTCAGAAACCATCCTTGCCATTGCACAACACTATATGTTCATGTACAATGTCGGGGACTCACCATCTGTGTCCATGTCACAATAGACTTCCATAGACATGCCCGCCATTGATGGCACCACAGTGTAGAGACCTGATCTTCTCACTCCATTGTAGTAGATAGAAGCACAGTCTATGGGACAGCTCCTGGCATGCTGGATCTCTGAAGGAGGCGTAATTGAGAGAAGACTGAGAAGGAGAAAATCAACACAAGGTATTTGGCTCCCTCTGGTGGGGCATCGCCACACTAGCATGTACCTGGGTGCAGGGCCTGTTGAGCATCCATGAGAGGATTGGGTTGGACAACGTTGACTGAACAACCTGGACTTCTTTTCACTTTATCCACCAGAAGTGTCAGATTATGGAGTTGGCTCTAAACAGAAAGACTCACGGTTACTTTTTGCTTCCAGTTACAGTTAATGCTGTAGTTAGGAGAAGGAGCGGCGTTTACCTGAAGGTCTAGGATCAGAGTCCCCTGGAGGTGCAGCAGGGTGGTGGCTTCAGCATAGTGGACCTCCAACTCATGGAAACGCTGTTCCAAGGAGATGTTCAAGTGGGTCCTCTCTTCACTCTGACACCATACATTCAATAAACATGTGAGAAAGGCTTTGAATCTTTTTTCTTATAGTGGGAATTTGTTGAAAAAAACAGACCCATGACTGACTGCTTCACTATCCTCAGCAATCACGCCTCAAACTCACACATGCAACATCTGCAGATGCTCTCAGGACACACAGGGCAAGTCCTCTTATAAAACTTAAAGCCAGATGAGTCTATTTCCAGCTTGGACATAGAGGATAACACTAACTCCCATTACCACAGACCCAGGAGCCCTTTCCCTTTGCCCTGTGCTAATGTGCAGCACACACACACAACACGAGGCCCTTCTGCCTTCCACCTGTGGCAACGGACCCGCCCAGCTGAGAGTCTCTGTATGAGCTCACTGCCTGTCAGGAACGAGGCAACACGTGGAAGAGTAGGAGGCTAATCCTGTTAGCGGCTAAGGTCAAGGGCATGCTGGGCGGAAGCCAGCTTGATGACCAAGCACCACATTACAGCACAGAAATGTGCACTCCAAATGGGTCACTTCCTCTTCTGTGTCCAAAGAACAACTCTTTTTATTCTAAATGAAGCCTGGAGGTTCATTTCGAATCAAAGTCTGAACTTTGTCCCACCCAAAAGGCCCGAAATAGAGAGAATATGAGAATGATGTGAAAACTAAAGAAAAAGTTGTTTTTCCCAGCACACAGAACAAATTAAGTTTCCAAATGCAAACAATCCAAAAAAGTGAGTTGTGCAGCATGTGTGGTCTGTGAAACGCAGCAGCTACCTTGTCACACCATCCACCCGGTCTCTGCTGAGACTAAAGCCAACGCTCAAAGCAGTTGAAAGGATTGCTGCTGATGGTTGACCCAGAGCCTGCTAAGTCCATGTGGAAATCTCACCTGCAGCTCGAGGACTTTGATGCGGTGCCGGTGGTTCCTCAGTTCCTCCTGCAGCTCAGAGATTGTCTCTTTCAGCACCGCAATCTGCTGTTTTCTCTCCTCGTTCTCGTGCAGCCAGTAGGAAACCTCGTCCGTGCAGCGAAACATATCCGGGCACCTGCGTTCGTCCAGCTGAGGCAGCGTGGCCACCAGCCGGCACATCCCGTCCTCCATCAGCTGTCGGGTTAAGAGCAGAGGACAGCATGTCAAAAAACATTCTCCATAAACTTCCTGAAGATGGTCCTGTGATTTATTTTTTCTTTGGCAAATCAATACATTCAGCATCAGCCAAAGAGTTTTTAAAACAGAAGAGAACCCTTTTCCTTCTATTTCTTCATCCAAATACATCATATTTTATAGTTTTGTTTACATCACACATACAGATAGTTCTTTACACAATTTTTTTTGCTCCTGACTTGGTGCTGAATACTGTAGGTTTTCATTAATTCCAAATTTATTAACAATTTCAGACATTTTCCAAGTAAAATATATGCGTGAATTAATATACAAGTATGTTGAAATTACAGTTACATGTTTGGGTAATTGTGAGCAATACGGTAAACCAACAGGCTGTATCATTTATTAAAATGTTTCTTGCATCACTGCAGTTCCTGCCTTGATTTCACTGGTATTTTGTTTCTCGGGTAATTAATTAGTCAAAAATACATCATATAAAGTCAACTTTATCTTCTCACACATGAAAAAAATCAACTGACCATGTGTATTTTGTGCAATAGTTGTCTCACTGTGGACACTATTTATAACTATGAGCATTTTTATGCCACATTACAGCACAGGACATGGACTTGGAAACAAAATATTGCTCAGCGAAGAGCTCATACATCCCTGGAGTAAAACAGGGACACTGTGAGCAGTAACAAGTTTGCACTACTTCTGTCTGAAGAGCATCACTTTGGCATGCGTTTACGATGTCTGCAGTTATTACCTGGTTCGTGTACTCCCCACACTGGGAACCCCCGCCGTTGATTGTAGTGGTAGCGTTCAGGTTTTCTGCTTTGGCCTCTGGGAGCAACACGACGAGGACGTAGAGAGTTGAGCAAACGCTCCAGCCGGGAGGGTTGGTTAAGGACAGGAGAGACATGGCCGCCGCCGGGTTAGGCTGTCCCTGCCTGGTCAGCGAGAGCGGGCGTGGGACTCAGGAGGATGTGCTTCACCATGTGAGGCTCTGCTAGCTGTCCCTGCTAGCAGTAAACACCTGTGTTAGATACCTATAAAAGAATACTGTCTGACTCGTGAAGCCTGTAAGACACCACAAAGCCACACAGAGTCTTAGTCTGCCTTTTGTTTCAGTACAACTAATAGGACATGAAGGTGATCCACTCAGTCCATTAGGTTTGTCAGGTAACTGCTGCTCTTAAAGCCAAACTGAGGCTCTGACTTCTCGTGTTCATACATCTTATGCTCTCTAACTTTTTATATTTCTCTAAATACTATAAATACTTGCACAAATATAATGACTGCAAACAATGCTTTCTCTTCTTTGAGCACTAACAGACAACTCAAACTGGCCGTGGACCTGCAGCACATGTGGCGTTACTCACCCCAGTCACACACCATCGTCCACCCCGCTCCTGGCTCGCATTGAGCCGAGGGGTTCTCTCCATGTTCTTCCTTTCCTTGCCTGTATCTCCTCCTGTGTTGCTTCTTTCACTCCGAGTGCCTCGTGCTCATCTGCCGTCTCTCCCTCTCTCACTCTCTTCGCCTCTCAGTGGAGACATCTTAGTCCAGTAATCCACCTCTAAGAGGATTCACAACAACAGAGGGATGGGAGGGAGGCACACAAACAAGGAGGGGATAATGAAATTATGGGTAAAAGCAAAACATACGACAAGACTCTGAAAAACACACGTTTAATTTATCCATGTTTGCTGGAGTCAAGCTGTTCAGTTACTGGCCTGTCGTGGCTGTATTGATTCATGATGATGTGGGACTGAGCTGTGTTTTATGGTTATACATAGAGCTTTTGGGATTTTACAGGATAGTTTTAGGAATAAAGTAATCATCTTACAACATGGGGAAAGAGGAGGCGCTCCTTTCTGAGGATTTTAAGATTACAAGAGAAAGAAGAAGGTATAAAGTCTGTGCTTTTCCACCTAAAGCGTGAAGCTGACGTCTATCAGAGAGCTGACGGCACACACAGCACATACATTAAATAAACATCACCTCCAGGCACAATAATCCTGCTCTAAGCTACTGATAATGAAGGCTGATGTGAGTAGGAGTATGAGGGAGGGGGGGCTGATCCTATTACAGTACCAAAGCTGCTCTTTGCATTTTTATGCCCTTGGCGATGGTTCAACACACATGGTCTCATTAAGAAAAACAAGGTGCTAATGAAGGCGTCATTGTATGTTCAATACTCTGTTCAAAAACCATCTCCTGAGCAATCAGCTCTGTGACTGTGGTATGTGTTGAAATCCTGAAATCTTCTGACCAGTCGCCCCCCCACCGCTTTCAGAGAATTCAGCAAATCACACAGAAGATAAAGCAGAGCCCAACCTTTGCCGATGCACTGCAAATGTAAAACGTTAAAACTGAATCTCATGTGCAAACTCTCGGGAAGCAATCGTGTCTCATCTGTATGCAGGTGAGAGAAGCTGCGTGAAAGACCACATGGTGGCATCGTGTAACAACTTAATTACCTGCCGGCCTTGATAGTTGTACTGAGCTTCCTCGCGTCAGCATCCCAGAGAAATAACACAAACAATCAGCAGCACAACAGAAAAAACTAGATGAGAAAACGTTGTGAGTTTCCAATAATAGCTTCTGAGGAAAAAGGAGCTAGAAGCTTACAAGGAACAATAAAACAGGTTTCTCACAGCCGAGCTGCAAACCTGGGAACGGTGAGATGTTCGCAGTTTGGCATCACAACAAAAAATAATGTTCAAATTGCTCCATTAATATTTTTCCATTTATTATTAATATGGAAGGAAGGAGGGAAGTGTGTTAACTTCTCTGCTTACATCTTCAAACTGTCACTGAGTTTTGATTGCGGTGCCATAAAAAACACATTTACAAAGCACGGTGCATGCTGGGAAAGAAATAATAATCACGTTCCTGTCATTTATCATGAAGCGTTTAATCAATATGCTCACTGCTTTTCTGAGGTGAATACAAATATTTTGGCACACGGCATAATGTAAGAACATGCTGTTCAATAAACTGCTTTTTCTTTAGAGTTCTGCCTTTGCAGACTATATTGCCCCCATAATCAATAGCTGCTGATGCTGCTGTTTTAAAGATGGAGATTAAATGACAGATCACACCGCAAGACTCTCAACAACATTAGGTGGCCGACCCAATCCATCTATCCGGTTAGGCAGGGTTGAGTCGTTGTGGCAGCAGGCCAAGCAGGATGTTCCTGATGTTCGTCTTCCCAGCAAGGTTTTCAAGCCCCTCCTGGGTAATCCCAAGGTGTTCACAGGCCAGATGAGATATACCTATACCCTGGGGTCTCCTCCCAGCTGGATGGAAACCCTCTGAAGAAAGGCACCCAGGAGGCATCCTAATCAGATGGGCAAACCACCTCCACTGGCTCCTTTCAACATGAAGGAGCTCCGAGTTGTTCGTCCAATCTCTGAGGCTGAGCTTAGCCTCCCTACAGAGGAAACTCTGTCGGCTGCTTGTGTCTGTGATCTTATTCTTTCACTACCCAGAGCTTACGACCATAAGTGTGGGTTGGAAGGTAGATTACCCAGCTTCCCTTTCATGATGGTCCAGCAGCATTATTGTTGATGCTGCCACAGTCTGTAAATGGTAAATGGTCTGCACTTACAGAGCGCCTTTCAACCTTAGTGGTACTCAAAGCACTTTACAATGCATTTCTCATTCACCCATTCACAAACCAGTGGCGACAGAGCTGCCATTGGGGGCAACTTGGGATTCAGAGTCTTACCCATGGACACTTCGGCATGTGGAGGAAGGGGCCAGGGGATCGAACCACCAACCTTGCGATCAGTGGACAACCTGTTCTACTGCCTGAGCCACAGCCGTCCACGTTTGTCTGTGCATCTCCCACTCTATTGTCCCGTCATGCATTTAACCCCAAACCCAGTGGGAGCAAGACCCAGAACCGTAGTCTCACACTTGTAAGTGCTGACTTCCATCTTGGCCGCTTCACACAGCCTGATTAAGACAACCAGAACCACATCATCTGCAAAAAGTAGAGATGCAACACTGAGGTTCCCAACCGGACACCCTTCTCACTGCAGCTTCTAGGTCCTGTTCATGAATATCCAAAACTGGATCAGACACTTGGTAGGCTTTGTAACTTCAAACCCTCCCAAAAAAACGCACGTCTAGCAATTGCAGGATCCTTACGCATTGCAATTTGCCTTTCTGAGATTCTCATGAGTCAGTTGCCTTAAATGTGCAATACTGAATAATTTTAAGCAGCAGAAGCAAGTTGTGAAAACAGCAACGAAATCAAGTTGCCAGCAGTTGCATATTTATGCATCCAGCAGTTATGGAGAAACATAGAACAGCAACTTTTTTATTGTCATTGCAAATTTGCAGTGAAATCAATCAACAGTCTCCCAGTGCATTAAAAATAAATGCAAAGTGCTTAAGAAGGTAGGAAGTTAGTGAGCGTGATCTGAAGCGTCTACCTGAGGGCAGCGGGTCAAACCGATGGTGACCAGGATGGAATTGGTCCTTTCGAATGTTTGCTGCTCTACTGAGGAAGCAAGAGCTGAAGAAGTCCTCCAACAGCGATGATCTTCTGGGCGGCGTTGGCGATCCTCTGGAGGGATCTCCTGTCCGCCGCTGAGCATCAGCTTTCATTCAGAGGTGTGGTTTTGTCCTCGCTTTACATTTCACTTGCTCTGTTTTTGTTCCCTACCAGCTCCTGAGGGAAATACCTTTCCCTCCACCTGCTACTTCACTCCGCTCACCAGATAACGCTGACTTTTCAGAGCGTTTTAATTGCCACCTGTGGCCAAAACCAACACAATGAGAGTCATGAGCGTGAACCAGAGCAGAAGCATTGTGGTCCAGATGGCTAAACAATGAACTGAAACTCATCATGAAGCCTTAGCGTTAATCCCATACACCTGACAGCCCCATGCATGCATTTTTATGGTAAAAATATCAGTTACAGGCACCTTAAAAACTTTATTATGTTTATGTGTGACATCCTATAAAGCTATGAAATCAGCAAACGTACTCATTAAAGTCTTTCACCCAGTTAAAGTTATCTTTTTTTTATGTGTTTTCTACTTGCGATACAACCTTTTAAATGACTTCGTGCCAGTGACAACATAATGAAACACCGCTGACCTCATCTTACTCAATTATGCACCGTGCAATAAAGGCGGGTTAACATTTGTCATAATGTTAAGTGGCTGTTTCCAGCAGGTTGACATCGAGCCAAAAGCCGAGGCTGAGTGATGTGACAGTTTGTCAGGATGCAGGACGAGAGCCGACGGCATCAAGCAGGAGCTGGAAGGAGAGCGGGTTGTGGTGAGAGCTGTGTCATTTTTTGTGTTATGTGCAGATCAACATAAATACGACTGGAAAAAAAAGCACAAAAGAAAAGAATCGATTCATCCAGCTCGCTTCCCCTTCGCTGACTAACAACACAAGCCCTTTTGTTGAGAGGTTTACTGCCTGCATTGTACCTGGAGACCAATCATGTGTAACTAAGGGTCAAACGTCCGTCATTCTGGGTGAAGTAACCGTTACTAAGGGAAAAGCAGCTGTTACTCTGCACTGACACAGACGTTGTAGTTAGCGAGGGTTTAATGGGCTCAGGGAAAGGACTCGTGAATGTGTGTGGAGTTGAGAGAAAGCGAAACCCAAAGACGGCATCTGTCACCTGTTGAACCCGGCTTGCTGTTCAGCTTCTGAATGAATCACAGGAACTCTTCTCACCACGAGACCCATCAGGAGCTTCTGTGTCTTCAGCCAATGCCGCATTGATTCTGCAGAAACAGATCAACAAGCTTTTCTTTGCTGCAAACAGAGGGCTGGTTTATTAAAGCAAAACCTCAGAAAATGAGAAACGAATCGTAATGTGAGCACATGCAGTCGTCACAAAGGGTCACGATGACAATGATTTGAAATGGTATGCTGTGGCCTTCA